ATTATTAATTAACAATTCCTTATACATCATTTTTTATAAAAAAAAATGCTAAAAAAAAATTCCTTATAAAATATAAGAAAATGTGATACAGAATTTCAAAAAATGTATACAAAACTTATTTATAATAATGAAAAAATGTATGCAAATTTTTTATAGGGTAGGAATTAATATAAAGAAAAGAATTTTGTAAAAATTTAAAATATATTTAATATGTTTTTTAAGTTTATTTTCTCTTTATTTACATATATATATAAATTACTTTTTATTAAGACATAATCAAAAAAAAATCATATTTGTTTAATTTCCAATATAATAAATATATGAAATATATATTACTTTAAAATGAAAAAATTTTCTTATTCTGAAATTTAATAACATTTTACAAATGAAAAAATTTGCAACTTTATTTTTAAATATTTACAATTAATATCATTTAATCATATGATTTATTATAAATGCAAGATAGCCAAATTCTATTGATTTAAAATTTTTGATTTAAAAATAAAAATTCAGATGACTGAATCAAAAAAAGCAAATTGTGATATAAAACTTGAATTTATAACTTTATATTATCTAAATTATAATAATTATAATATTAAGTTTTAATATAAATATAATAAGCCTAAATAATATGTAAAAATAAGATTTAATATTAAGTTAATCATAATAATATATATATAAAAACTCTATACTCACTTCATTACTCTTTTACTTTTCTTATTCTTGAAGTTCTTCCAACTGTACATATAGAATATGACATTTGCAATTCTGAATTTCTTCGATTACGATAAAGTTGAGCTTTTTCTATAAGAATTTTTGTTCTAAAATTCTCCATTTTCTTTAAAGTTTTCTGTAAAAAGATAATAAAATTAATAAAGATTATAAAAATACATATCAAAAAATATGTATTTATAACAAACCTCAATTCTTAATAATAAAGTTATTACTCTTTCAAGAATTGATATTTGAATAAATGATTGAGGAAGTTTAATTGTTTTGAGTAAACCAAAACACCAGATATTTTTAGCCTTCCAATTCATACCATATATATTATAATTATAACCTAAAAATTTAATTTTTTTTTAGTTTAATGTTTTTAATAATTTTTTAAAAAAAAACATACCATAACTGCAAACTCCTAATGTATAAATTTTTTTAAATGTTTCAAAATTAACACCATTGTTTTCAATGCCTTCTTTTAATAAAACATCCCTCATAGCTACAGCTAAATCAACTTTATCATTCCATTTTTTTGATTTACAGGCTTCAGGTAATCCACCAGCACGTAAACCAATCAAATATTCAAATCCATCTTTTTGTATACGAAAATCACATTTCTGACCAATAATACTTCTATCAGTAGGTTTTTGATTGAGATTTAATACCATTTTTGAGGCTAAACTTTCTGTTTCTCCTCTTAAAATAATAATATCATTTGTTAAATAAATAATTTATATATAATATAAAATAATAGAAATCTGTAAAACTTACTCATCATAAGAAAATTCTTGTTCAAAAGTAAGTATTCCTTTTGTAATCATATTAGTAAATGAGTTTGAAAAATAATATTCACTTACAGAATTTGGCATACAATCAAGATTAAAAATACTTTATAAAATAAATATATTTAAGTTTAATAAAAATAAAAATCATCAAAATACATAAAAAAATCAAATAACTTACTAATTTTGTATAAGTCGTCTAATAGCATTCATTTTTTGGTTATTCTTTTACAAAAAATACAAAAATATAATTAAAAAAATATTTAATCTTATTAATAGTAATATTTATATATAAATATAAATAAATAACTTACATCTATTATACAATTTTTTTCAATTGCTGTAATTATATCATTTGGTGATTCATCAACTACCTAGATCATAAAAAATAAATTTTATTAAAATACTGATGTCTAAAATTAATCAAAATAATAATTAATATTCAAACCTGTGTAATCTTATCCATTAACTGAAAAAATGGATTTTCTTCATCTTTTAATAGATCTTCAAGTTTTACAATTACTTTAAAATCATTTTTCATTTCAATCCATTTTTCATCAGAAAACATATCCTTAAAATGTGTATCTTCATCAGTAAGATCAACAATGCCAAAATATGCTGGGCTGATTTAAAAATATAAAAATCAAAAATTAATAATATACATAAAAATTTTAGTTTATTATTTATACTTACTATAAAAATTCCTTATTTTTTGTCATCTTTTCTGTATATTCTTTTAACACTTCTGAAACATTTTTACCAGTTGATAATATCCAGCTCTCATAACTTTGTTTTTCGGTAAATAACAATTCCTTCTTATCAGTCTATTATTAAAAAAGAAAGATATTTTAGGAAAAACTGTGTAATATGATTTAAAATCATTTAACAGATTTAAATTTACTAGTTTGATTTTTTTTGAACTACTATTAGACTGTATAAATAAAATATTTTAGTGAAGAAATTTGATTTAAAGTACATCATGTTTCTTTAAAAATCAATCAAAAAGACATACCTGATTAGTATTATTGACAAATTCATAAATATCATCATCAAAGTATTCATTTCTATCATTATTATTACTAGCATCACCAATAACATTATTATTATTATATTCATTGTCATCATTATTATGTTTATTTTTCTTATTCTGTAATGGATTTTTCAAAACATTGGTTATAACACAATGATACACAAATCATCACCCTATGATCTTATTTACCTGTTCTGTTACCAAAGTATTAAATTGATCATGTACAATCACATTTGTTTGTTGAATTCCTTCACGTACTAGAGCCTATCAATATAAATATTATAATTAATGTCTATGAACCCTGCTTTTAGAAACTGAGGTGAGCAAACATACCGCTCTTTTTTCTTCTAACCACAATCTCCAATCTACGGAAGCAATTGATTGCTCCTATATAATGATATATAATATAAATGTTAGAAACTATTGTTTCACAATTTTATGATACAAACGTAATAAATTACATACATCAACGCGTTGTTTCAATGAAATCAGTTTATTTTTATGATCATCACTAGTTCTGTCTATAGCCATTGTTAGTGCTTCGTTGTATCTTTGAATTGAATGTTCCCTTTGAGAAGACATAATATGTCTATAAAATGCTATAGGCGTGGGATCAATATTAAGAAGGATCCAATTTATATTTTTTTCTTGTGTACTTGTATGATAACACTGTTTCATTTGTGAGTATTTACTATTGTGCAAAACTAAATAACTAACTAATCACTGAATTGATTTTTATTCTAAAAAAACGCGATTTAATTGTCCGAAGCTCAAATACTAGGCATATCAAATGCGTTGCTGGTCACGTGCATTTCACAAAAATTGAACACTAAAAAAATCGCGTTCCCTAGTACGTGTAACAAAAAAAATTTTTTTCGTCAAGTGAATGTCAAAACTCAATTAAGGTAGGTTGAAAATTTTATCTCCTATCCATAAACATGGTATAATTATGATAAAGCAATGAAGGAAGCGTCGGGATCAATGTTGGGTCTGTTTGGGAGCCAATATTGGCGAGCCATCAATAAGTATGGTCGGCTATACTTTGTTGTCATAATTATATTGAGTTTTGTTTAGCATCAAACGCGTCGGGATCAATGTTGGGTCTGTTTGGAGCTAATATTGGCGAGCCATCATAAGTATGGTCGGCTAATAGATGAGAGACAAACTCACTTCAGTATTTATGTGGTTAACATTGTTCAAAAACAAGAATTAATACATATTTTTTTTCTTTGCTTAAATTTCTTGGTAAAATATCTTTCTTTGGAGTTCTGGTTATTATAAAAATTCCTGATGATTAAAGTTTTAGAAAATATATTATTACAATTTTTTAAATTGGTTGATAAGGTATTTATTTACATTTATTATCTATTTTATCTATTTTAGAATATTTGTTTCGTTAATCAAATTTTTTTTAAAAAAAATGACTATTAGAAGTAAGAAAACAATTAAAAATTACTAGATGTGGAAAAAGAGTTGAAAGAATTTAAAGAGAGAGTAAAAGGAAGAGGTTCGAGATTGGTTTTATGAGGGGAAATGAAGTGTTGAGTAGAGAATGTAGGAGAGATTAATTGTGAAGAAAGAAAATAAACAGATGAAGAAGAAAGAGTAAGACTAGAAGAAGCAAGATGCATTCAATTGTAGAAAGAGATTGTGAGATGAAAAAGGTAATTTGAAAATTTTATCTCCTATCCATAAACATACTGGTATAATTATGATAAAGCAATGAAGGAAGCGTCGGGATCAATGTTGGGTCTGTTTGGGAGCCAATATTGGCGAGCCATCAATAAGTATGGTCGGCTATACTTTGTTGTCATAATTATATTGAGTTTTGTTTAGCATCAAACGCGTCGGGATCAATGTTGGGTCTGTTTGGAGCTAATATTGGCGAGCCATCATAAGTATGGTCGGCTAATAGATGAGAGACAAACTCACTTCAGTATTTATGTGGTTAACATTGTTCAAAAACAAGAATTAATACATATTTTTTTTCTTTGCTTAAATTTCTTGGTAAAATATCTTTCTTTGGAGTTCTGGTTATTATAAAAATTCCTGATGATTAAAGTTTTAGAAAATATATTATTACAATTTTTTAAATTGGTTGATAAGGTATTTATTTACATTTATTATCTATTTTATCTATTTTAGAATATTTGTTTCGTTAATCAAATTTTTTTTAAAAAAAATGACTATTAGAAGTAAGAAAACAATTAAAAATTACTAGATGTGGAAAAAGAGTTGAAAGAATTTAAAGAGAGAGTAAAAGGAAGAGGTTCGAGATTGGTTTTATGAGGGGAAATGAAGTGTTGAGTAGAGAATGTAGGAGAGATTAATTGTGAAGAAAGAAAATAAACAGATGAAGAAGAAAGAGTAAGACTAGAAGAAGCAAGATGCATTCAATTGTAGAAAGAGATTGTGAGATGAAAAAGGTAATGAGCAAATTATAGAAAAAAATTATTTTTCATTCATTCTATTTCACTTATTTACTTATTCATTTAAAGAACATTTGGTATACTGTTTACTTTTGTATTTCAATTTCAAATTTTTTTCGTCCATTTGATTGATTATTGGAGAAACTATCCAGAAAAACCATCACCTATTGAGATCTTTGTTGGAATGCGACCCATATCTGCTGTTATCTTTATTTTTCGCTCTAGACTCCATTAATATCAATTGACCTTTATTAATTTTTCCGTGTTTAATCCACCGAAGTTTGACAATCCAGGGACTCACGCCGAGAATCAAACAATGCATTTGATCGACATTTAAATGACGAATTGGATTAAAATACGTAAGTCTTAACATTTCAGACCACAAATGTTTACGAAATATACTGTTGTCTTTCTTTATTTGTCTTACATGCAAACAAACCTTTAGCATCATTACGTATCTCTTTCTTTAAACCAAGATCCCATATCACTAAATCCTCCAAAATTTAGTTTCCCATTTACCAAATTAGATTTTTTGTAACATCTATAGCATCCAATCAATGCTGAAACATGGCACAAAGTTTACTTGCCGCAGGTATATCATTTGAACAACATATAATAGCGACTCTAACCTTTTTACATTTGGGTGTTTTCAGAAACTGGAAGATCGAACCATCTCAAAGGCTCAATAATGTATCGACGATTGGTGAAGGAAATGATTGATTTTGTGTTTCTTTACCTCATATGGTCCTGGCAACAAACATAATGTCAGCATGAGTTCCGATTTAAATCTAATTTCCCTAGGTAAATAACACCATATATTATACCCCTGACGATTCAAAAGGTTGTAACCAATCTAAGTAAATCATGATTCCTAAATTAGAATCAGCTGTCTCTTTTGAAAAAAACGGGGAATCTGAAATATCAGAAGTTGGAAATGTCTTCCGAATCTTCCCATCATAGATATCCGAAAACAAACCATCTAAGGTTTTTTATTTGTCCATTTTTGTAACAATTCCTCAAAACAAGGTCGCTGATACAGTGTATTTATTTGGTATTTAATATCTGGCAAATGAAATTCTAATATTGGTCGTTGAATGTATCCATTAACGATAGGAATTTTTTTTTTTTTTTTGTTAATTTTGTATTACAGACCTTTGTGTTTTTTTCAATAGATGGTGAGGAAATTCTTTATAGGTACATTTCTCTAGATTATTATTATCTTTTAAGTTATAAAATTTGTTACATTTTGGACATACAGTGTAACGTTTGAATTTGTCCGGAATCCCAATGATTTTTTTTGCCATATATACTGAAGATGGAAATTTCTTGATTTTTGAAATATCAGTACCAGTTAATACAAAATGAAAGAATTTAATCGAAGAGTCAATTGCTGTGGATGGTAACTTAAATTTGCTTGAAATTTGAAAATCCAAATTATTATCCACTTAGAGGACGCAAAATATTCATGATCAACATTAATATTTTTTTCAATATAATCTTCTTGAAGCTCAGATGCATGGAATACATAAATAAATTGTCTTATTCTATCTAGTTCAAGTTCATTATAATCATCAACATCAATATAATTAACAATATTAGAATTAACATTAAAAAATTCATCATCTTCATCACTATTATTTTCAGATTCTTTTTTAATAGTTAAATCATTAGTGGGTTCTTTAAATTTGTCATATTTTACTTTTTTCTTTTGAAAATTCTTTTCAACATTTTTAATTTCTGATTCTTTACTAGATATCTTATTATTAAAATGTATTACAGATTTTTCATTTGATGTTGAATCATTAGAATTAATTTATATACTGGTTTTAATATAGCTATTTTTTCTTTGTATTTACTTTTAATTCTTAGATTAACAAATTTATTACCATTGTAATAGAGTATATATGTGTAGATAATTTTTATTTGTATTCTTTTTATTAAACTCATTTTTTATTTTTTATTGTATGTAAATTATATAAATATCATAAATAAATTTTTTAATATTAATATTAAATTAATATTAAACTTTTTAGTTTTTAATTATTTTTTAAAATATTAAAATATTATAATAATTACTTTATCAAATAATAAGAAAGTTACTTTTATATTTTTACATTCTTAATTATGATACATAATAATAAATAAGTTTTTGTTTATTTTTAAGCAATTAATTGTATAGTCTACCTTTAATATAACGAATTTTGATATAATGAACTATGTGATACTTGACTAATTAAATATGTTAATTTTTACTTTCTATAATGAAGTAATCAAACAAATTCTTCAAATTTTTACTAATTTACTATAACAAAGTTGAGATGCAGAATGGCTACTTCACTATATTAAGGATAAACTGTATATACTTAATATCACAAAATTTATAATTAGATAAATTCATTTTTTAAGTAAAAAAGAATTATCTAAAAGAAGCAGAAGAACTTATAAGAAATTTAAAGATAAATAAGATTTTTTTAAATTTAAAATCATTATAGTACTAACAGAATCTCAATAAAAACTATAATTATTTTTTAACTTTATTTAAAGATTTGTCAAATTAATTAAAAATTTTAATAGAATAACTTTGTAAAGTATAAAATAAAATATTTACTAAAAAATTCTTAATAATAAAAAAGAAATAGATTTTAATAAATTCAAATAGAAAAATTTTATTTTATAAAAATACAAATATAGATATAAATTAAAATACAAAAAAAAATGAATATAAGTAAAAATAAATAAAAGATAATTTAAGCATTTTACATTATGATAATGTTATTAAAAAAATTATCCAAATATCATTAAAGAAATAAATAGTTATTAAAAAAATAAGGTTTTTGAATATATTATATATTATTTATTATTATTTATTTTTTAAAAAGAATTTGCAAGATTTCTTAATGAAAAATATTAAATATTTTAAAATTAAGTAAAATTGATCAAAAAAGAAATTATTTTAATTATTTAAAAATTAATTGATAAAAGTCAATTTTATTATATAGATAGTATTTTATATAAATTGATTTATCAAAGATATAGATACTAATATAAACAAATATAAAAATACAAAATGAGATAACTTTTAATGAATATTAAATTCATATAAATAGATGTAAAAGTTGTGTATGTAGTTAATTATTTTAAAAAAAATAATTATTTTATTTTATTTTTATAAAAAAGAATAAGAAAGATAATAGTTATCTAATATCTTCATTTAATTAATAATCCTACAATTAATAAATTTTTAGATCA